TGAGGTCAACCAAACCAGATAAAAGCATATTCATTTCTAAAAAAAAAAAAAATATGCAGGAGATATCTTGAAGAAATTAAGATGAAAGCTTGCAAATCAATATTTACACCAGTGGAAGAAAGGTTAAAACTTATAAAAGACGGAAGCGATGATTTGGTTGATACAACAAATTTCTGGAGACTTATTAGAAACTTGAGGTACTTAACAGCAACTAGACGTGACATTGTTTATAGAGTTGATATTGTAAGCAAATTTATGAAATCATCAAAACAATCTCATTGGCAAGCTATAAAGAGAATATTGAGATGTATTAAATGAACGCTTGATGATGTCTCTATTCAACTACTAACAAGATGGAATTAGTTGGGTATACAAACAGTGATTGAGCAGGTGATATTGAAGAAAGGAAAAGTACTTCAGGTTATGTGTTTAATCTTGATTCAGGTACATTCTCTTGATCCTCTAAAAAACAATAGGTAGTAGCACTTTCAACCGCAGAAGTAGAGTATATAGTAGCTGCAAGTTGCGCTGTTCAAATAGTTTGACTACGAAGGATGCTTGATGAGTTAGAACATTGATAAGATATTCCAACGATAATCTATTGTGATAATCAATCAACTATTGCCTTAATAAAGAATCCAGTATTTTATAGTCGTAGCAAACACATAGACATCAAACATTATTACATCCGTGACTTAGTAAAAGATAAAGATATCGTGGTCGAGTACTATACATTAGAATATCGAATTGCTGATATTTTCACAAAACAACTTAAAGCATATATATTTATCAAGTTAAAGAATATGCTAGGATTAGTTAAATCAAGTTTAAGGAAGGATGTTGGATAATTAAACTCGATTTAATTAATGTTAGAAATTAAAACTTCAATTAATTTACAATAAAGAGAGGCAAAGGTGAAGCAGCAACAATAAATAGAGAAAATGAACGATAATAATAAAAAATATGAAGGTAAAACGACAACCTTTCTATTTATATAAATAAATTTAAACAAAAGAGAAAAGACAAGTATGTGAAAAAAAAAACATTTAAAATGTGGGATGAAAAAAAAAATGAGATTTATTAAATTTAACAATCTAATACGTAACGAATTTAGGGTATTAGATTGAATGTTGTAAAATTTATATTTTTTTTATCAATAAAATATTAAATATTTTTTAATTTATAAATTTATTTTATAGATAATTACAATAAAATTAAATTGCAAACTGGTTTTGTAAAAGAAAATTTTCACTATCTTACGTACTTGTCTCCCCTCTCACTCTTTTTGACACTTGTATTTGTTTCCATTATATGTTTTATTTTTCAGTTAATCTAAATAGAGCTAAAATTAGATTCAGAGTTGTCATATAAGCACAGAATCCACACGTCCCCACCCGTGAAGCTGCTGCACAAAGGAAAAAGTGGAAATAGCCTTAGCACTGTCGCAATTGCCCACAGCTTTAATGGAGAAGGAAGCTTGTAATTCATAGCAATTACTAGAACAATTCTTTTTAAGCTAGATTCCATGGTCCGACATTCTCGATCTATAATGAAGAATAGAAGATACTGATGCAAAAATTCCAGTATTGGTAACTCCAGATCCTTTTATACTGCATGGTTAATTCGAGCAAAATTTTGCAATCAATGGTGTGGGGAATCAAAATCTAGGGTTTCTATTTCTTTCATCCCCTTACTTGGGCCCCCTTCATCTTGGGGAAAGGGCCCGTTGTTTTCATACAAAGGGAGCAACATAGTGAGACGAAATGAAGGAGCTGTTAGGGAGTCCAGGTACGGTAAGTGGATTAGTGCTTAGAACAGGACAATGTGCATTTGCTGCTGCTTCTATTGGGGTTATGGCGTCTGCTATTGGGTTCTCTAGCTATACTGCTTTCTGGTAATTTTATTTCCCCAATTTATTTTTTTTGTTTGATCGTATGTATTTGATAACTTCATTCCCTGCTGACGAGGTTTCCGTATTCAGAAAATTGATCAATTGATCATAATTTCAATCTGTTTCTTATAATCTCGACAGGAACTGTTTCAAGAAAATTGGTTAGGGCTACAAAAAAACCCTTTTTATTACAATTTGAATAGAAAAAGCTGTTTTCAAGTAAGATAATGATATCAAGAAATTTTGAAGGAGAATATATATATATAGAGAGAGAGAGAGAGGGAGAGAGAGAGAAGAGACAGAGGTAAGAATGTTGTACATTTCTTGATTCTGGCTAGTTATACCATTAGGGTCTGCCAGTTTTTTTTTTTTTTTTTTTTTTTTTTAGAATAGCTACAAGTTAACTAAAACACTTGCCCCTTATGGTTACGCAACTTGTATTCATGCTATTTCTAACTAATAGCCGTAGTCTTCCTGCCAACCAGGATTTCAACACATTTTCCACGTATGAATATCCCCTTTAGGATCCCATGTTCCCAAGAGAAAATGTTAGATATTTGGTCCGAAAGTCAGGGGCATCTTTGCGAGTTGTGTCTGCTGGCAGTTAGCCAGAGCACCAAACAAGTGGTTCAATGTGTCTTTTTACTAGTCTGCAGCTCTGCCCTGGATAAATGGACTTTAGGATACGCAGTTTTCCTCCTTGTCCAGCATATAGTTTCCAGACTACTTATCTTTTAATCCCCAGGAAAGTATGGGATATGAACTAGAGGAGAGCATCCATATAAAACAAATGCAATGGTTTCAGTGGCTGTACGATGACTAGTGTTATCCCAAAACTCTGCAAATGGTAACCAATTCAGCCGATCCCCAAGCTTGTTGTGGCATTTGCACCTCAATAGGTTTCAAGACATTGGCTCACCACCTTAGTTCATTCATTTACTAATAGTGAGCTCTAAAATATGTGGGTTTCACTCACTGTAGCTAGAAGAATTGTTGCCAAGAAGCACTTAGGCAAATAGAGTCTTCGTCACTCACAGTTGTAGCTGATACCACGTGCAATTTGAAAACCACATACAAAAATGTCTATCCATTGTGATTGTCGTATAAGGATGTGCCAGTGGCATAAGGTGGGCATACTTTGTAAGGCAAACCGTTACCTCTCTCCCCTTTGACTTCTGCAATCCGTCAATGATTTCCATGGAAGCATCTTTCCATGGTGCCTCTGGTACTAGTAGTAGCTGCAAAAACCCTACATAAGCTACTAATTCATGTTTGAATTCCTGATAAATGTCACATTGTTGGATCAGTTTATCCTTTGCCATTCTCTTCTGTCAGAAGAGCCTATTCTTTTAGGAAGTAGCATGTACTCTTGAGTGACCATGCAGACTCATGACATTCCTTGGGTGTCTTAGACCTCAACTCTGGATCACAGCCAACCACTAATCTGCCCTTCATATGCAGCATCTTTGTTTTCAGGTAAATTAGTGAATTTGCAGACATAAGAAGGATAAACTATTCCTTCATATGCAGTAAGTGTTGGATGAGGGTATCCTTACTCAGCTATTCTACATTAGTTTTGTGCGGACATAAGAAGGATAAACTATTCCTTCATATGCAGCAAGTGTTGGATGAGGGTTACTCAACTATTCTACAGTAGTCCTGTGCGGACATAAGAAGGCAGTGAGAGCCATAAGTTGGATTTCTAGTACCCCATGCTGTATTCTCCTTGCCTCTTTTATACCAAAAATTCATAATCTGACCCTGTAAGTTCACATAACTACCTTGGTTAGCTGTGAGTGGCATCAGGCAAGTACTTAGGACTATGATGATCTGCAGTGATGATAAACTTCCTGCCCACAAGGTACCGCATCCATTCTGGCACTGCAAATACAAGTGCAATTAATTCCTTTTGCATGCATTGATGGTAGTTGGTTGTTTTTTTTTTTGGAAATATGGTAGTTGGTTGTTAGTAGAAAAACTTTTGCTTATGAAAGTAGTAGGTTGCCATTTTTGCATTAAAACTGCTCCAATATCCTCTTCACTTATATCTGTTTCCACTGTGAAGAAATCTTTAAAATTAGGCAATGCCAAGGCAGTTGCTTGTGTAACAGCAGCTTTCAAAACTTCAGATACCTGAATTTCCACTTCTGCTTACTACAGCTTTTCAGTTTTCAACATCTTAGCGAGTGGCCCCTGATACTTTTTTATGAACCTGCTATAGTAACTGGTGAGCCCAAGAGATCTCCTTAACTGTTTCAATATCTTAGGTTGGGGCTGCTGATTCACAACAATTATTTTTTGAGGGACTCCACTTCTGTCCTAATAATAACATGTAATAAATATTCCACCTTAGTAGGGCCATAAATGCATTAAGTTCTCTTGGCATAAAAGGTGTGTTGTCTTAACCTTGGTAGGACTTGCTTGAGATGCTATTGATGTTGCTCCATTGTTTTACTGTCAGTATATCATTCAGGAATTTGGGAAAAGATGACTTTTATGGCTTCCCTTTGGACCAAGGCTCATGGAAAATACTCTGACATTTCCTGTAATGTCCTTTATAGGAGCTAGGATGCTGTGGTCACTTGATCTTTACCTCTTTTGTGTTATTTAATTCTTACTTTCTTTCTTTCAAGAAAAAATTTAATTTTTTCTTTCTGTTTTATTTATTTATTTCTTCTGCTTCAGCTGGATAACTTATCTGCTGTTTTTTTTTGTAATGTTCTCCTTTTCAATCGTTCTGGAACAAAATAACAAACTTACAAGAGAATAGTCCGAACACAGCATCTGTAAGGGCTTAAGTCAATTGGGCATTGTGTAAGCCAAAATGCATTATCAAAAGTTGACAATGCCCTTTCATTTGTCTTAAATGCAATTTTTGAACATGCTATCTTGTTCAGCCATTCCAGTGTGGTGATAATGAGACCGCAAGTCTAACTTAGAAATGATGTGGATCCCCATAACCTTTCAAAACTCTTCAATGATGGGGATAAGAAACCATCCTTAACAGACCATTTATTCAATTTTCTATAGTCGATGCACATTCTCCACGTGCTATCTTTCTTTTCCACCAGACAATTCTTTTTTTTTTTTTAGAAGAAAGAGAGAATTATTTTACCAGGGCGCCGAGGGGGTTGCCACCCAAGTACAAAACTATATAAAACTCAAGAAAAAAAAACGTATATAAGGTTTCCTAAATCCTCTTGAAAATACAGAGGCCGAAAATTAAGCAAAATACTCAAGATCTGGGACCACTGATCTTTAGTGCTTGCAAATGAAGATATGATGCCATAAAAAAATCTCCTATTCCTTTCCTTCCAAAGGACCCACATGATAACCACTGGAGGAAGGGAGACAATCTTTCTACTGGACTTGCACACCCCGATGCCATCCAAGCCAATGATTTATCTGCAATCAAGCCACTGACCGCTGAGGACAGAAGGGCAAAGATAAATTCCATAATAATTGCAGATGACAAAAGACTCTTTTTATGTAGGACAACTCCTGATTTTGGTACTTCTTTGACCATTTTCTCTACTAGATTCTTCTGCTTCTTGGTTTATTTAAGGCCTATACTGACAGTTTCTATTTGGGTCTGTCTAGAAAAATTTGGCAATCCTTAAGCGAGTGAAAGTGAATCTGGAACTTCAACACATCCTGATACTGATCAAGTACTGTTTTCTTTGCAGACAATTATCATTTTGGGTGGATTCGCTGATTGAGTCTTGAAAACATATGTGCAGTTGGGGTTTCCTGCAGTAATTTCAACATTTTATTCTCTGAAATTTCCTCTATAATGGTGGTGGATTCACCACAAACTTGCACCCATCTTCCCCTTTCGTAATGGGTCATGGTTAGCTTTTTAAATTGCCATACTAATATCATAAAAAATTGATAAGCTTTTGATCCTGAGAACAACTTTTACTTCTCCCAATGGTAATACAAGGAAATTGGTCCTGTATTGCTCTCTCGCATCACCTAACTCAATTTTTTATTAGCCTGATTGATCACATTTTTTGTCTCCTTGCCACTGCCAATATCATTGCCTTAATGAGAATTAATCTGTATCCAATTTGCCTTGGCAACACAAGCATCTATGAAGTTTTGGTTTTTGCCTGAATTCATCGGGATATATCACCATTACCTTCATTGATTTGGCTGTACTATACGGTTTCTGACTTTCTCATGCCTGGAAATTCGGGCATCTTTCTCTTTCAGCTCTTTGTACTTCACCCTATCCCCATCTTCCTCCTTTCTTGTTCCACCACTTCACGAAATGTTGCTGTCAACAAATTTGTTTGACTATGTGACCTATTTGGTATTTTTCATTACAAAACTAGCAAAGGCCTTTACTTCTTTTATTTTCGATATCAGATGGTGAAAGCTTCATGGTTTGGGTGTTTGGTTTAGGTAACAAACTAGGTTCTTTATTAGAGGGCTGTTATTGAAAGTAGACTGGATGGCAGGAAATTGGGTGGTGGAGCAGGCTGGCTGTGAGTATTAGTCACTACTAGTTACTTGGCTGCTAGATACAGTTTTGCAGGTTTCTAGTCAAGGTCTGGAGGATAAAAGGGATATCTAGGAACTCATGGAGAGTAAGAGAAAGGTTGAAGGTACATAGTGGCAAATACATCTTTTTGTCGTCGGGCTAATGCCTATGCATGTTGACATTTAGAGGCTTTTCAGTACCCCCTAGAGCTTGTAGATCTGGTTTTAAACTGGTTAGGAAATGACTAGGCTTGTATTTATTTGGTTATGAAACTTAACTCTGCAAGACATGAAAAATATCAAAATAGTCTTGTAAAAGAACCACTTTGCCACTCAACCATTTAATAATATCTAATAACCACTTAACTTCTTTCGGCTAAGCAATTGTTATTTCTCTTATTGCCTACTAATAGCCACTTTCTTCCTGCCCAATTAGGATTCAACATATTCCACATACAAGTCAGTTAACTAAATCATGTACCTTAATAATCAATTTTATACCAGTTGCTATTCAGCAGTGTTGTGGATGAATAATCTTTGTGGTTGCAGGGTTCAATGTGCCTAGTCCTTAAGCATAATTTTAGACTAGCAAAGAGAGATTTTTTTTAGAATGTATTACGTGGAGTTGGCAAACCAAATTTAATATCAGAATAATGGATTTGGAATGAAATTTACAGAGATTTCATTGATGGAACATGAGAATTGTGGCATAGTTGCAAACTTGTATATCTAATTATGAGTTTTATGCTAGTGTGTAGCAAGATCTGGAGATCCTCTCTTTTTCCTCAGAAAATTTGCATACATAAGTTTTATGTCCTTTTTTGTATTAAAAATCCCTGAGAACCTGTTTTTAACATCCTAAATTCTCTAAAATCTCTGTTAATTTCTTCCTATTTCTTTCTGTTGCTTACGAAAGCTGTTGGGTGTGGGGAAGTTGTTTACATCTTGAAAATATTCTAAAAGCATTATTAGTCAGTTTGTTGGATACTACTGATGGTGGTACCATATCATTGGTTTCAGCTATTTAATTGCATCAATGGGACTTCAACTGCTATGGAGTTTTGGACTTGCATGTCTTGATATTTATGCTTTGAGGAGAAAACGAGACCTTCAAAATCCTATCTTAGTGAGCCTTTCGTCGTTGGTGATTGGGTATGTGCTTTTGCCTTCAAAGTTACTCTATTTCTCTTTTGCTTGCTAAAAGTTTACATGGATGTTTGGTATACTTTTAATGAGATGCTTTCTAGGGAAGCAATTATCTAGCTCTTGTAGTCATCCTATTTCCAAATTGTATGCTGGCTTTTTCTGTCTGTGTGTGTGTACGTAGTTCCAAGTACTGTTCATTGCTTGACGTTGATTAAGATCCAATTTTGTATCTCGTTTAGTTTGAATCTTCTGATTTCAACAAAATAATTTTCATATCATGCTTTCTATTAATAAATCAGTATTTTAAGTTCTCTCATGCATCCACCTTATGGGTATATTTCAAAATTTTTTATGGCATTCTTTTATTTTATGTTAAGGTTTTTTTTTTTTTTTTGAAATAAAAAAGTAAGGTATATATATATAAAAACAAGGTACCAAGTGAGGGGGTACCGCCCATTTACAAAGAGGATTTATGTTAAGGTTATATTTGGAATAAATCCAGAAATATTTTGGGATTCATATGTAAAATCACACTTTCAACTATGAAGTTATGTAAGTTCGACTAGAATAATAAAAAAATGACCTCATATGGAAATTCTCATGGAATTGAAACAATGCATTTCAAATTCTAAGTGTGAATTTGCAAATGAATTCCCTTTACATACCTGAATTTGTTCCAAATAGTCCAAGTGTGATTCTTTTCATTTGGCTGCAACGATAGAAATGGAATCTCTGGCTAGAACTGGGGGGTGTTTTATTTTTTTTACCCTTGTTTTGCGGTGAGTAGCTGATCATAGTATTTGGAGGTAGTTATTCAAGTATGATTACAAGATTCTCCTTCTAGGGTATTAATATTCTATTTGCTAGTCTGAAGATGTAGATTTTGGATTCTCATATGTTGCACATGTTTTGACATCTATGTACCATTCAGCGGTTATTTTCTCATGAAAAGCTGTCTACCTAGTTTGGGCCCTGGGGGCTCTCCAACAGGAGTTCGTTTTTAATGTGAATCTTGAGGATAGTCAGCTCACAAATTATTGTTTAAAATGTGCAGGTAACGGCTCTGTTATCACTTGCAGCAGCGTGCTCATCAGCAGGTGTTATTGTTTTATACGCTAGAGATTTGAACTTTTGTAGGTCACAACATCTTCCATGCAGCAGGTTTGAGATATCTATAGTTTTGGCTTTTGTCGCATGGGTTCTGATTGCTGTATCCTCTCATGTGATGTTCTGGATCTTGGCTTCAGTTTAATCAGTGTGCGATCCCTGTTCAACAGACATATACACACTTCACACTGACTTTTATTTTGACATGTAAATTGCTTCTTTTCCTCTGCCTTTCTTCATCTTCACTACATGTTTTTTTGACGTTGCAATTTTCCGAATTTCACTGGCTTGAGTTGTGACAAATTTTGCACATTAAAGGTACTTGTATTTGTGTTAAGTCATTTTACTTTGTTCATTATTCTTACCACTAAATCTTGAAGTTAAAATTTTTGAATTCTATTGTTTAAACAAATATTACAATTTCAAAAATCTCAAGCCAGCGTATTAAATTGTTGATACGAAGTGGGAATTGCTTCAGATTTTTCCCACGCTATATTAGATGTATTCTATGCAGGTGAATTTGCTCCTATGTTTTGAGTTTCTGGTGGGACCCCTGCCTTCTGTCCATCAAGAATTCAACATGTCAATGGTCATTAACGCCATTAACAGAAGTTATTGTTTTGCTCTGTGATGATTTATTAGTTTCAGTTATTGCTTGTACTATCTCGATTGAAATGCACAGAACTTGGGATAGATAAAATCTCTTGTTTAGACATGTTAAAAGAATTTTTTACTGAGAGAATGAGAATAACATGTTTGTAAGATTGAAAAAATAATGGACGCCCCAATTCAATGTACGGAACTTCTATCTGAATTTCTATCATTGCAAAAGTTAAAATGAGTCTCAGTTAAGTTTGTTTAGCTCATCAATGGCTGCAAAACCAAGAGAACAGGCACGCAATATCAGCAATACAGCGTGTACAATTAACGTAGAGAAAAGCAATTACGAAGGCCTAACTCTAGAAAAAGGAAGACACAAGCCGAAGCATTAATAAGTTAACAGATGGCATATCACCTCTCTTTCTCTTCCTAAATGTTCATTTCCTTTCTAATTTTTTTTTTTTTCAAATTGTCTTTCATATTTATCACATCAAATATCCACCAGATAAAGAACAAATAATCAGGGAAGAGTATTGTAACAGTATCACATTACAATCTCTGGCTTCAAAATGCTAGATTTTATCTCCTTATGGGGGAGGACAACACCCCCATTGCTGTAGACTTCATCACCCACATGCACATCTTCTCCCAGTATTGTCATATTCTCAACTCTTGCCCACCTTCCTACTGTGGAATGCCAACCGATGATGCTACTGGAAATGCAAGCATGCTTCTTAATTCGGACTCCCCGCATGACTGTGCACCGTGACAGCCTAACCCCTGACTCGATTGTGCATCCTGGACCAATGGCCACATCAGGCCCGATAAGACATCCATCTTCAATAACGGCACTCTCATCCACCAAAACATTTCCAACAATGTGAGATCCAGTGGCCAGTTTTGACGACGATGTCTTTCTCAAAGAATCTAGGTACAGTCTCAACCCAGTTATGTAATCCTTTGGTTGTCCTATGTCCATCCAGAACCCAGGGAGCACCATAGCATAAAGCTTATTCTCTGCTGCAATCTCGGGGAAGACCTCTTTCTCAATTGAAGTAGGCCTCAACTGGATCCGGTCAAGAACAGATGGGTTTAAAAGGTAGATTCCAGCATTAATTTTGTTCCCTACAAAAATTTTTGGTTTCTCAACAAATTTTTCAACTTTCCTTGTTGCTTCTTCTATGACCACTACACCATATTTTGATGGCTCATCCACCTTAAAGCAAAACAAGTAAAAGCTTTATTTAGCATAAAAAACCGCCAAGCCCTATGGAAAAAAGCTACAGTGCTTAATAGGATTTACCTTGGTCACCATGATGGAGGCTTCCCCTCCATGAGAATTGTGAAACTTGATCATTTCAGTTAGTGGGTATTCACTAATAACATCACTGTTGAGAACAAAAAAGGGTTCACCAGATTCATCAATCAACTTATCCCTAGCCAAAGCAAGAGGACCTGCCGTGCCAAGTGGTTCAGTCTCCTGAGAGCAGGTGATTTTTATTTCCAGCTTCTTCTCAAATTCTTTCAAGAAGTTCAACATAACCTGAAGAAGTAATGTAACGTGAAAATCCTCAAGAGTAATATCTCATTGATTCAATTCTGTTCCACTTTTTCCCCCACTAACTTACTAGGTCATGCATTAATACATGATCCAGAACTAGAAAGTAAAATGATATGAAGCAAATGGAACGTCATTGTCAACTTTTGGATTCACAGAAAATACCTCTGGCTGGTAATTGATGGCCAAAATCACTTCAGATACTCCTGCAGCTTTGAGGGCTTCAATCTGGCCAACAAAAAATAACACACACATTTTCTTAAATTTAACTGATCATTTTACTTGGTTTATAATGAATCTAGGTATATACAACATTGACAGCCAAAAAGAACAGAGAAACAGGGAGTTAATAACACACTTCCTACAGAACCAAGCTTTACCCTGATCTTCAACTGTCAAGTTAAATTAGTATCCAGGAGAAGCATCATGCAAAATATAAAACAAGTATTTGTCTGAAACTCACTCCAATACCAACTGAAAAGTAAAAACAAAAAAATAAAAATAAAAATAAAACAGCTCAAGAAAAATTCTGTTCATATAAAGTAAATTTGACATAATAACAAGAATATTAAATAACGAGGTTTAACTTCAATCAAAAACACACACAGAAGAAGAAGGTAACAAAAAAGAACCTGATGCAGTATCATGGGTTTGTTAGCAAAATCAACCAATGGCTTTGGCATGCTGAGGGTCAATGGCCTTAATCGTGTCCCAAAGCCTCCAACTAGAATAAGTGCCTTCATGGTGATAATTCAGTTTAAGCTTGCTTTTCCCTGTATGGTAAACACCATGAGCATTAGAGAACTACCATTGTATGAACTGCTGATAGCCAACAGAAACCAGCTTCCATCAGATCTCTAGTAATTTAATTGGAAAGAACATTTTTATTGATCTTCACATATTGATCTAACAACATTTTTTTTTTCTCGCCAAAGAAATTAATGTCTTCATTAAAAAAAAAAAACAAGCGCTGAGAAAATTCTCAAACGAGATGGAAAACTAGAGACTAAATGACTCATTAAACCCAGCATGAAGAGATGAGAAAACGAATGAGGCTAACAATTAAGAATTCGAATTACAAAACCGAATATCAAGTACATAAAATTTCTAATTTCGTCAAATAGATTATCAGTACAAAATTCTCAAATCGAAACTAAGGTTAAATGAAAAAAGCCAGAAGCAAGCAATTTAAATCCCTATTTTAAGAAGTCAGAAGCGCCGGATAAGATCGAAAACACAACTCAAACTTACTGCAATAAACGAACAAAGAGAAAACAGGATCCATCAGTAAATGACATTATTTACGAAAATTCAATCACGAGGCAGGTGGATCTTGACAACTCACAGTTAATATTAGTTATTGAGCGATCTTGAGCCGGTCCAACTGGTAGCGTTCAGTGTCGATGAGATTCTCCTCATATATATCGTTTATAAACACAGTTGACCGTTATCTTTGCGGGTTTCGGACTCTGATGAATCAACCTTCTCGAGGGAGAGAGTCTTGGCTTTTTTCTGATGAAGATTACGAGACTGCGTCAGCGTCCAGCAAGGCTTTCAGACCTCACCGAAATCTCCCCTTCCTTGTTCGATTTTCTGGTCTTTCCCCATAAGATGCCGCTGGTTTGATTTCGGGTTTCCTGGTTTTTGATTTACTTGTCATTGACTTATCTTCCGTTCCAATTTTTCGTTAACGAGTTCATTATAAATTCTAATTGCAAATAATCAATTTTTATGAATTAATTAATTTAAGAAAATTTTGAAAATGAAAAAAATACTAAACAAATAAAAAAAAAATTAATTAATTTACAATATAAATAATTATTATTTTTTGTCGGCATGTAAAAAATTATAAAATATTTTCTTGTTTTGGGGGGGGTGGGGAAGAAGAGCAGCAAAAGTCACGGGAAAAACACGTGACGACTTAACTATAAATACCGACCAGCTTTCTTCAATCACACGCATACTACGATTTACAAATCTCTCCTGCAGATACCTTCTCAAAACCTCCCAAAAGTCCTTCTAGAAAAAACAAGAATGGCCACAACCACACCTGACTTGCCATTGGACTGAAAACCCTAACAAGCTACGGTGGTCCGAGCTTGCTGAGGACGACAATGGTGATGATCTCAGCTTCCCCTCCTCCCTCCTACCAAGGTAATTAGATCCAGCAAGAATGGATGAACTAGGCACCCCCATTACTCGAATATGCAAAGTTTGTATCAGGATCAGTATGCATGCTATCAAGTGTTGGTCATGGGCTAAGTCTAGTGACTCGGTGAACGAGGATTTTGGCAGTAGGCTTAAAATGGTTTCTACTGAGGAAATCGTCCTAGGGAAACCTAGGGTTCATTGGTACTTTTCTGCTATTTGACTCCTCTTATATATTTTCTTTTGACTTAGGCAATGACAATTTGGTTTCTTTATCTATTGATTGGTTAATCATAAGAAAATTTATCATATGAGTGTGTTTGATTGTGTTTTTCTGTACTTGTATGATTACTAATTTAAAGCTACTTGGATTTGAGATCTTGATAACCACAAATTAATTTAAAGCTAGTTAGAATTTGTGATGCCACTGATATAAGATTTTTTAATTTGTTTGGTAAGAACTCATCATCTGCTTCTCTCGTTCTGTGAAGTACCAGTCGAAACTGTTGCTGCTCCAACATGAAATTTAGATTTGGAACTCGATATTTCTGGTGAGGAGCCTAGAGTGAGGAGCCTAGAGTGATGAGCCCACAAACAGATAGCGTGCTATTAGTTGTTTTGGCTTTTAGAAAAAGCAATATTGCGAGCTGCTAGAAGATTGGAATTGTCTTTATTCACTCTTCTTAGATATGATTGTTAAGTTCTTCAAAGTATCGATTCAATATCTTTCCTGGAGTGAAGAGGGAGAAACCTTGTACAAGTAATTTTAGAATTTTTTTATAGGCCAAACTGCAGGTATGAAACTGATCATAAAAATGAAAATTGAAAAGATAAATGTACCAGATCAAGTCTAATTTTCTGTTTACAGTGTTATACTATGGTCTAAATTGTTTCCTTTGCACTTCAATTCTTCTAATATTTAGATGACAAACAAGACAAGAAGCAGAGGAAGCTAAGAATGGAGATGAATCAGCGGGACAACTAGGGGCAAAAGGTGCTGTTCTATGATATGATGAACATTGGACATCCAAGTGTCCTTACAAGGACCTTATGCAACAAACTGAAGCCTCGCATAGTGAGACTTCTTCTGCTGATGATGTTGCTGCTTCTTATAGCACAGAAAATATCCGTTATATTCCGCCAAACATGAGAACCAGAGCCAACAAAAGCAGCGGGTAAGATATGAAGCGCAGGAATGATGATAACTCACTTAGCATCAGCAATCTCTCGGAGGACACTCATGAGCCTGATTTGCACAATTTCTTCAGCTGATTCGAGCCAGTGGCTCGTGTGGTTTGCTGCTGCTTATCGCAAGACTGGTGCGAGTAGAGGGTTTGCTTTTGTGATTTTTTATGACAAGAAAGATGCTTGAGAGAGAAATTGACAAGCTCTTAATGGATATGGTTATGACAGTCTCATCCTCAAAGTTGAATGATCAGCTCCATATCAAACAAAAATTAGTTTGTTTCTATAGGAGGAAACTCTGTATATCATTTGTTAGAGATGCAGGATACAATCAATACCATTTACTTCAACCGTCATTTTGATATATATTAGAATTGGTATTTCTTTTTTGTTCTTGTCCTGAATAAGTCATTGCACGGCTGATTTCACTAACATTGCCACATGGTAAATTCAATAGTTATGTGAAGCTATCCACTTATTTTTGACATCTTGGCTCTGAGGATGATGCTTTATTGTCTCCAATCCTATGCTAGAATTTGGAAAAGAAACTATGAAATAACCTTGAAATTCAAGTCTTCTTGACTGGGTGCTTTATTTTGCTTTTAAGTTAATGATACTCAAATTGAGTGTATGTGAACATAAAGTCTGGGAATACAGGAACTCTGGTTCTGTTAGCATAGTTGGGTTTTAACAGAGAACCTCTAGGGACCTCAAATTGGTCCATTTTGATGGAAAGAAATGGTCCAAATCATTAGAAACTTTGGAGAATCATTGGAAAATTGATTAGGAGTTCATGTACTGATGATACGTACACCTAGGTTATTCCTTGCTACGTTTTTCCTCAGAACTAGGCTTCAGAAACCTCTCCTCTGACAATGCTAATAATATATTCTATTTCATCAGCAACTTCTTTCATCGAAGGCCGATTCTTCCTGCGTTCATCCAAGCATGATGCTGCCAGCAATCCTAATGACTTCATTGTTTCCAGTTCTAACTTTGTAGCTCCCTTCTTGATGACTGGATCAACAACCTCCATCAGCCTCTCCTCATCCATTACCTTTTTGATATACACCACCAAGTTTACGTGTTCTTCTTCTCTATTAAAATCAATAGCCTTCTCTGATGTGAGTAGCTCCAGCAAAACAACTCCGAAGCTATAAACGTCACTCTTATCCGTGAGCTGAAAGTTGCGGTAATATTCAGGGTCAAGGTATCCTAGAGTTCCTTGTGCACAAGTGAAGATGTGACTGTCATTGTTTGTTTCGGTTATCTCAACCAGCCTAGACAGCCCAAAATCAGAAACTTTAGCATTCAATTTCTCATCAAGCAGAATGTTGCTTGATTTCACGTCACGATGGTAAATGGGCGGCACAGCTGCAGAGTGGAGATAAGCAAGACCCTCTGCAGTCTGGTGGGAAATGCGTAGGCGGCACTGCCAGCTGAGAGGAGCTCGTTTGCCGGAGAATTGGCAATGCAGGTGCTCAAATAAGGTTCCGCTAGGAATGAACTCATAAATCATTAGAGGCTGCTCAAGCTCAACACAACAGCCAAGGAGTCTTACAAGGCTCCTGTGGTTAACCTGACAAAGAATCCGAACCTCATTGAGGATTTGATCAGTGCCCTTGGTGTTTCCCAGCTTGGCACGCTTGATTGCTGTTATGGTTCCATCCTCAAAAACGCCTTTGAACACCTCCCCAAACCCACCAGAGCCTATGAGATTGTCTTTGGAAAAGTTGTTAGTTGCCCTTGTTATCTCTCTCCCTGTAAATACCCTGGCTGATTTCCCATTGTTTTTGGCATTCAAAATTTCTTCCCTCTTCTTCACTAAATTCCTCTGGGTTTCTTTCTTCTCCCTCTGTTTATGCTTTTGCACTAGGATTCCTACCATGGCGGCTAGCAAAATTCCACCCCCAGCAAGGCCAGCACCTTCTCAAGCCAGTCACAAAGAAATATCAAATAAGTACTTCATAGATACATATACACACATAGTTTACTATTGATCTAGAACATACCTGCAAAAACTGCTGTCTTCTTCTTCTTCTTCTTCTTCTTGCAATGTTTCCCGTGTTGACACTTCCCGCCTGAACAAACAAAACCCCATTATGGTTTTTTGATAAACTAAAAAATGTCACATAGATTTCAATAACTTTCCTTAAAAGCTTAAATTGATACAGAATAAGACAGTCTTCTCTTACAGGCAACGCCATTAAACTTTAACACGTGAATCAACCACAGATTCATCCAATCTTGTGTGCTGAAATTAATTACAGAAAAAATGATATAGGAATAGCAAGGAACTACTTACTTTGACAGAGTCCATTAATGGGATCCCACTTGAACCCAGGATTACAGTAGCACCTCTTTTGCCAAACATTTGCAGGATCAGACAAACACTTTGAATTCAACAACGCACTGCAATCCATCGGAATCTTGCAAACCGGTTCAGGTGGCAAAGACCACTGTAATTCCAGCGCAGGCTCAGGCCATTTCTTCCCTGCCGCTGCACCAACTTTAGGGTTCAGATTCGCAAAGCTCTGATACGCCAAGCACCCTCCGCTCTCAACCTTGATCACACTCTGGGACTCGCTGGTCTTCAACGTACAACACACCGGAGCATTGATGCACGCCGGTGCATTATCCTCGATGTAGCTGTGACACACGTTACTCGGCGAACAATCCACCTGTCCCTGCAACTTCGACGTCGTATTACCCGTACAGTTGAGCAACATGATGGTGTTGCTAGTGGCGATGTCAAAGGGAAGACTCTCATTAAGCTGGAAACCTTTTCTGATAATATCACTAGAAATGCAAGTGTTCCCGGCGAACCCAGGTGGTTGGATGATGATCCGCTGAGTCAAGGGATTGATAGACGTGATCCTGTAGGACGACGAGTTGAGAGCTTCGAACAAGGGTGTGCCTGCGGTGCACCGGATCTTGTAGGACTGGTCGCCGCAACTGGGCTCCGTGCTCAGTGGGTACGGGACCGGAAAGCTGCCGCAGTTGCCGCAACGTTGCATGGAAATTGCGAGCTCTGCGCATGAGAGTATTGTCAGTAAAAGAAGGGCTGGATATACTGGGAAGACATTATTTTTCTTCTTCTTAATCTCCATTGATGAATGACAATGTTGGGTTATGGGTATGGAGTGGGTGAGGTTCCAGTGATTTTGTTTGTTATATACGTTGAAAATATGAAGAGAAAAATAGAGAGAGGTTGTGAAGAAAAAAAACTTCTTGTATGCGCCAAACTGAGATTGTGTTTCTTATTAGTTTATTTGTACAACTACATTTTCAAATACACGTACAGAGGTTGTAAAGTTTACACACACACACACACACACATATATATATATATATATATATATGCGTGCGTGTGTATCTCATTTATTTGTTAAATTTGGAAAAGTTTCATTTCAATAATATAATAAAATAATTTGTTCTATTTCATGCTCCGCAACATAAAAATAAATTAGTTTGTTTTTGTATATATTGGTAATTTGGTAAATTTGTTTTTTTTTTTTTGCAAGTGAGGTGACATAATAATTGCAATGTGTGGAGGACCAAACTCAGTTTCGTACATTGCATGCACACAGCTTGTTTTGGAATCCACAAACTAAACTGGCTTCCTGTTTTCCAAGTAAGATTTGTTTTTGGAGATTCAGATTTCATTCACAACATATATTAAACATTCACGTGCCTTCCCCCCCAACACAACATATCTATCCCCCTAAGAATGCAAGCCTTAATAACTCTTATCACAAATTAATAATGAGTTAAAAATTTAATTTAATTTTTGTATTCTTCTAACGGATTCAATGAATTGATAAATAATAAAATAAAATAACAAAAAGACTTTGGAATATTTCTAACATATCCTTTGCATGTTTCCCAACTTCGATTAACAAGTAAATTAAGATTAAAAATCGTGTAATTTTGTTTTAATTATAATCCCAAAAACCTGGCTTCTCCCTCTTAACAACCATCTGAATCGTAAGTCCCAAGAAATTTAACCACTTCAACGTGCAACTATTCCTCTCTCATTGGCGGGTTGATGCCTCCAATGCATGAATTCATACAATAAACTTGGCCCCTCGCATTGGTCAAGACTTCTGAAATCCCACGGCACATGATTTGGTTTGCACTTTTGGAGAAACTAGGCGTATGTATGTATGTATGTATGTATGTATGTACCTATGCATTTGTATGCCATTAAAAAAAAAAAAAAAAAATTGTGTTATGTGTATCATCATAATGACAATATTAACAACTTGTTCAGAATTTGTACCTCTTAATCACAATAAATTTTAAAATTTTTTGGATTTGAAACATTAAAAAATATCATATCTAACCCTTCAATCAAAAGTATGTGATAGAACAACATTGTCTAATATATATATATATATATATATATAATGAAGCAACTCTTATGATAAAACTTTTTTATTCTCTTATTCTAATAAATTTTTTTAAGTTCTTAAACGCACTAAAAACTTTAATACTTTGTATGTGCAATTAACAATTAATTATCATCTTGATCATTTTTAATAAAATAATCTATGTATATTATTCATCAAATGTATATGAATACACGTTTAATTTTAATCTCATTCCAATGTTTTCTCTAACGTGGAAAGAATTATATCTTACTAATAAATTTATAAAAAAAATATTTTATCAAATCGAGTATTATTAACAAGATGCATTAGTGAATGTATTATACTAAAAATAAGGTACTTTAAACCAAATAATTATTCGTTAGTCTTAAGAGAATAAAAATGATCTTTTTGCACAACGAGTAATCAAACAACCATGGGAGTGGGAGTGCTTAATAGATTATGTATTTTATCCGTATAAAATCTTTTTAAAATATTTTCTATATATGTCGATTGATGAACATTTGTTTTGAAAAAAACTATTTAAGAGTATCAGTTGCACTTAAATCATCTAATTTTATATCAGACAATTTCATTATTCTAGTTTCACTTTCTTACAAATACTCTTTTATGTCATTTAGTATTTAAACTACAGGTCCAAAAATTTCGATTATTTAATGAGTTCACTTCTGTTTGTATCATATCTTTCTATTTCGACCAATCATTTCTATTTCAATATTTCTTGACGGATTTAAGTTCAATATCTTTATCATTTTTTTTCTATAATATTGTGCAATATATTACATGAAAAATATTATAGACAATTATATTTTTACAATTTGAATATATTCCTGTAGTGATATACTTTATTAAGATCTCATTATTATTTTTTAGTTTCCTAAACATTTTTTTTTCTAGTTTTGTAACTAATTATGTTACTAGGCTCTTCAAGAGCACCTTTCTTTTAAGCTCATGAAAATTTACTTACTTGACCCAAGATTTTTTTGGTTATTTAATGGATACCCATGTGAATTCTCAATTATTATACGCATATGTTGTATAAAATTAGAAACCTACACAACACTAATTGTAAAAAGATACGATTTTTCGTGAGTGTATAAAAAAGAAACTCTTATTATAAAAATATACGATCGTTGGTGAGTATATATGGGAGAAACAAATTATTTCTGTTTAATTAAAGAAACAGATGTCAAACTAAAAAATATATATTACTATTTTTTCTCTCACGTTAAGTAAAAATTATAAACAAACTTAAATTTTATGGTGTAAAAATTACCCAAAATTCTAGTAGTATTTAAGAAAAAACATAAAACGTCAACAATTAAAAATTATTCTATGTGGGTAGAAATACAAACATTTTTTTTTCTATTAGTTCTGTATCAAAATTAGTTCTAATATTTTTTAATCGTAGTATCAGAATTTAATTGCTTAATCATACTACAATTTGAATTAGGTTGATTGAATTTTTTTATGATGATGAATACAAATGACATTGTTTTTTTTTTCACATATATATTTTTTTATTAAGAATTAGTAACCCTATTTTTTTTTTTCTTCTGTGTCCAACACTTAATTAAGCATAATTAGTGAAACCCAGAAAAACTCCAAATAATTTGTCTTGCTGTTAGTGGCAGAATGAATCAAAAAAAGGGGGAAATCGAAAAAAAAAACAATGTGTCTACGTGCAGTGTATGCATAGAAGGAAAAAACTGGGAGAGAGAAAAATTTTGAAGATATATATATATATATATATATGTATGTGTGTGTATATATATATATATATATAGAAAACCAAAAAGAAAATAGGAGGATGATGCACTGTGTGTGCCAGAAGAAAAAAAAAACAAGTGCACTGTGTGTGCCTGAAAGAGAAGAAAAAATAGAGGGGGAGAAAGAAGGAGATTAAAGATATATATACACACACACACACATATATATATATATATGCCAACTCTTTGCAGAGGAAAACAAGACACCCTCTATTTTATTATTATTTTTTCTTCTTTTTTCTCTCATCAATTTTGTTTTTTTCTCTTTAGAAAGAAAAAGAAAAAAAAAACGAATTTTGAGATCGAGAGTTGAACTCCCGCTTACTAAAAAAGCACTTTAACCGAATGAACCACGCCGTGAAGTTTTATGTATTTGAGCATATACATTAGTCGGAGTATGTGTATCTTAGTAGCATTCAATGTGTACATACTATTTTATTTATTTGGACGATATATTAGTATTTTGTTATGTTGTTTAATCATCATTATATTAATGTATATTAATTAATTTATGTACATTAGTTAGTTATATATTTTTTGTTAAGTCGAGATAACTACGTATATTTTGTAATATTTTTTTATGCTAATTAGTTTATCAAAATTAAAAGGTTACATGAATATATTCTATTTAATTTTTAGTTTATTATGATAATTAAAATAAAATTTTGATAATTTAATTATAAAAAATCATGCTTAATGTTCATTTTTTTTATATGCTTGTAGAAATAGTAACTAAAACATGATTACTGATTCGTCCATCAACGAGAAGTTAGATGAGATAAATTATGATATATGACATAACAAGATTTAATATTTTCTTAATGAGTGCGATGTTTTGTAAACTTTAACCACTACTGTACTTGAGCCAAAAAATATCAGTAGTAACTGGTACAATAAGGATCTGGTTGTATACTAGGAATGTTCCAAGAAGGATCGTTCTGCGTGTTATACTATGTTGTATTGCATACATAACGATCTCATTGGAGAGTTTGAGAGTTGTTTCATAGCTAAGGATATATGGAACAAGTTTAAGGTCACTTTTGGCCACACATCCGCTATAAGGCTCTATACCTTAAATTTAAAGTAGATAAAGTATGAAATGGATTCAAAGTACAGTATAACTAAACACTTACATGTCATGAGTGTTATAGTTCGTGACCTTAAAGTTGGAGGGTTTGACATAAGATATCAGGAGCATGTTCTAAATGTGATTCGTTCACTTTCAGATGAATTTGAATGTTGAAAAAATTTTAAACTCCTGGTGATTCATAGTGAACACACTAATACTTTCTCTAAAATTGCAAGGCACATTGAGATAGAGATTAAGCATCAAAAGGTGTTTAATCCTTCCAATGTGGCATTTGTTGTCCATGGGGTCTTACCCAAGGGAAACAAGCCTAATTATGCTAAACAATTTAAGAAAGGTCGACGCCTCTTTTAAACTAATGGACCTAAAGGTGGTGCAGCCAAACAACATAAGCCTAAGGGCCATAGAGAGAAAAATGTAGTGCGTATGAAGTGCTACAATTGCAACAACAAAGGTCACTTCGTTCATGATTTTTTCGATTCGAAGAATATACCTTTCTTTATTTTGTCTCTTGATTTATTTATTTGTTCTCATGCAGTAGTTGCTAAATTCTTTTCTTAATGGGATTGCAGATACAGGAGTAAGCAAACATATAGTTCA